GGAGGTACAATCAATTAATAGATTAATTTACAAATGAATTACGGTAATAGCATTAAATTAATAATGATAATAATAAATACGGTAAATTAAAACTCTGTTATTCGTGTAGTCACAAGCCTGGTCATAAGTTATACGAGCAATGGTCCTCAATTTGGGAGAGAGAAGCAGGAGATACCCTTCCCCCGAGAGCCAGCCAGTTCATGGCAGACATGTGGCTTCCTATATGGGTCCAGTGCACTAACGAGGGGTGTGGTCACTGGCGTAAACTCCCCGCCCACATCGAACTCCATCATGTTAAACTCGACGTAGTCAAGTGTAGTGACTGTAGTCTTGACGAAGACCCAGTGAGTTTATTTTATCTTTATTGGTACTGTGGCCATTATAAAATTAATTAGATTGCTCTGATGGCTATGGATCCGTTGTGGGTCCATTCGATCAGTTACAGTCCGTTGCTGAGATATTGTGAGCCACTGGCCTCGTTACTAGTTGAATATTATCCTGACGGTGTTGGTATCAGCCCAACCACTGTTTGTATACAAAGAAATAAACAACAACAACAACAACAACAACAACAACAACAACATGAAGAGTCGTCAACAAGTGGAGGCGGAATTGCTAATGGTATTATCAGTATAGTTATACATGTATACATGCAGTCCATGGACTTTTGATTTTTATTTTTTCACTAATTTTAGTGAGTTTACAAGGGATTTTTAAAGGGGCCAAAAATAATTGAAGTGATACATGAATTAATAACGCCATAAACTATTAATAGAAAAACACACAAAAAACCTCCCAATACATCAAGAACATTAAGATATGTATAATAAGTAAAATACATGATTTGTTTTATTTTAAAGGAGAGGCCTTGAAGAAAGAGGAGGGGAAGGAGGAAGTTGAAGACACTGTTGTTCCGTCCTATGATTGGTTGCATCCTTTTAATCACCCGAAGGAGGGGCCAAGGGGTGGGGCATTAACTCCTGATACTCTAGAGCCGTGTGAATCTAAAACCTTTCCTGAGTGGAGCAAGTATGTACTAGCATTATGATTATGTTCTTAAGAAAGTTTGAGCAAAACTGATTTTGTATGAAGTTTTGTCAATAGTGAGGGATTTTTGATTCATTTTTGCAGATTTTAGCAACTTTTAAAATTTATAAAAAATCCAATCTTGATCCAAATCAGCTCAAAATTTCTACACAATATGAGAACATGTATATGCATCAGAAAACAATATAAAAATGGAGATTTCTCTTCTAGTCATTTTGGGCAAAATTTGGCCGATGACCCTGTACTATAGTACAGGGTTTTTGGTCTGATTTTGGAGCAACTTTAAAAATTCATAAAAAATTCAATCTTGATCTGAATCAGCTCAAAATTTCTGCACAATATAAAAACATGTATATGCATCAGAAAAAAATATAAAAATGGAGAACTCTCTCCTTGTAATTTTGGGCAAAATTTTTGAGCAACTTCAAAAAGTCATAAATGATTTGAATGAACTCAAACTTTTCAGGCAACATAAGAACATGTAGTATATGTATCAGAAAATATAATTAGAATGCTCTCCTAGTCATTAATTTTTACAATATTATTGGGGCGAGCAAAAGCGAGCCCCACATAGTCGAGTTGAGTATGTCTGTTTGTTTGTTTGTACACGTACGTCACCTCTATTTATGCGTCTATAAAAAAAATAATAATCACACATTTTAAAATGATAATTTTGATAATTACGGTACCACGTGCAAAAACAAAGAGCAACTTCAGTAATCACTGGACGAGAGGAGTTCAAGAGACAAGAGTATTAAAAAAAAAACAAGAGAAGCTGAAGCTTAAAGCATGAGTAATTCACAAGAAGATGCTCGTGAAGCTCGTCGACTTCTTCGTAATGAGCGTGAGGAGGAGAAAAGA